ATTAGTGGCTTTATTTTTAAGGCTACAGGCGAAAAACACCGTTAAACGTTTTCCACCAAAGTCACTGTCCTATATGCTTCTATCTACTAAGTCAGTCGATTATTTGCCCTGGGAGATGCGATATTCATGTTTATTTACATGCAGGCTACTGGGCGCGTCCACAAGTAGTTGATTGCGCTATGGCTTTCAGCGAAGGATGGCTGTGAAGTAGGTAGGAACCCGGATCTAAAAAGAAAACAGTCGTGAGCCATGCACTTTACCACAATTAGTCAGCCATAAGAGCCCGACGAAGAGGACAAACAAAACCGTGTATCCTAAAGTATACCTTTATTAGTTTTGCAATTGACGATTGACAACTTTCCCCCGGCCAACAGATGAGCTGTCGACAGCAACGATAAAGCCGCTGTGCACTTTTCGTTGCAGTGAATTTCATATCTATCTACCGGAAAGAGAATATCAGTGAATACCTCCTGTGATCAATCTCCCCATTTTTTTGTATATCACCCACCATGGTCTTGGTTATTTCGTAACTAAGAGCATACTTTGCTTAGTGGTGAGAATACTATTGGCTTCAGAAAAGGGAAGCTTGCATCCCACAGCTACGATGAAAACCTTCTGGAGATCTAGATTCTGCGTACGGAACAAACATATCCTTCGAGTGCTTGTGTAACAATGCCGTCAGGGATTCGTTGAAAACATGAAACTCCATAACTAACGCCGTGCAACTAATATCAATGTTGCTGAAAGGACCCTTATTAACCGCCTTTACTGGATTTGAAAGCCTATACTGCTTGAAAAGGTCTTATCCAGGGCTAGGACGCCGCAGTAAAAGCCCAAGTTATTTATAAAATAGCCATCCTGCAGCCCTAAAAAATGTTTTAGATCACCTTCAACCACGTCTTTGAGTACTTAAGCAACAAAGCCGCAGCGTTGTTATACTATTTTTCGTATGCATTTAATGAACCTTTGCTGTGACAGTTGAAAAACAGCGCAAAAGTTAGTTCGAACTCATTCACATCGTCATACATGAAGAGGACACCCGAAACCGCATCATGACGACTACGGTGCTGGCATTCTTATTCTGTTGTATGCTGCATTCTTCCATAATTTATCATGGCCTGTACGCCTTAGGAGTTATGTGCG